TATTTGTATATAATAATAATAACATATGCCAAAAAATATGTAAAAATATATTATGAAAAATGTCCTCAAAAATGTATTTTCTTTTTCTCACAAAATAATTTTTCTATGAAATCTTATTTCTTTATACACCTCCCACTTCAACTAAATCACCACGATGCGCCCACTTCAATTTTAAAAATTCTTCGTATCCCAACATAAACATTTAGGCCTTCGCTTTCTGCTTTTTTCGATTAACGCAAGAGAAATGTGCGCTCCTCTAATAAAAATGTCAACTTTGTAGTTTTCTTGCTTCCACTCCTTTTCTTTCTCTGCGCTTATTTGCAATTATTTGTGCGATAATTTCTGCTGGCCAATAATGGACATGTCGCAATTTCCGGCTTAAATTAGTGGCCAATATATTGACCGAGAATTGGCATTGCGCAATCGAAGTCAGCAAACGGCATTAATAAATGGTGACTGTGTGCTATTATTGTTGTTGTTGCTAGTGCATAGCGGCGCGCAGAAAAAAACGTACAGAGCGCAAAAAGCACCTATTTCGTTTGAACTCCAGTGTGTCTGCGTTTAAGATCGCGTTCGGAAATGCTTAGAGTCAGATTAATTGCCGTGATTAGTTAGCGCTGTTACAGACAAACATAAGATATTAGCTACGTGCTGCTCTTGTTGTTGGTATACGAGTAACGTAGAGAGTTGGCAACATAGAAAACATATAACATATGTATGTTGTCTGTTTTTCTTGCATTGAAATAATTTCGTTTCCAATTCTGATGATATCACCTTCGAAATGCCTCTATTAATGACTTGGCTTCTGCTCAATTTTATGACATCAAAATATATGCATATCTTCAAGGTTATCTTTAGAAGTAACTGAGATAATTTTATTATTGTACGTTTGGTATTTACTGTGTAAAAGTAGACTTAGAATTGTCTTATGGAAATCATATCGCGAAAAATTATACTTCTAAAAGCGTTCCCAATTAAGGGACCGGACATTCCAGGTGCATGTCCTTAAATCGTAATCGTTAATGCATTGCCGTGGTCGTCTTTTTAAGAGGGGTCTCTCAACGGAGGCTGTTCTTTCCTTTTCGTTGGGGCCGTTTTTTACATGACGTGTCTCAAAATCAGCGCACAACCCTGGAGAGTGATGTTTCGGCTTCTCACTTTATGTTGCCTTCAAACGGATGTTCTTTGGCTTCCCAGAGGAAACTTAGTCTAAGACAGGAAGTGGCGAGCTACTTGAGCCATATGTAAAAGAATCGTGTCTGGACACTTCCAAGTAAATGGCACTGGAGAAATTTCCTCATTTGCGTGAACTTTTACTCATGGCTCTATCCTTCTTCTAGAATGTATACTAATCTCAATATCATTTGTCAAAGGGTATAATAATAGAAAATGTTCTTCAAAATCTCTGCGGGCTTTTCGTGCTAAAATTATTCAAAGGTCTTTGAGTGAACCCTTCAGACGATCATAGTTTCGAAAGCTTTTACCCTAGCATAGTTAAATTGTTTTTTGTCTTTCAACCTTTGTCAATATTTTTCTTATTTTAAYTTCTAAGTCTACTCAATGTTCCAATCGTCCGTTAAAATTAACTGTACAAATAGTACATAATAATAAAAGATTTGGACAATGTTTAGCTTGATTAAGCCTGCGCCGAGCTACAGCTTCACTGCTCTTTTGAATTGATCCAATTCCGTTTAGTTCATCAATTTTTGTCTTTACGGTTCACAATTTTTTCATTGTTTGCCCCGCGGCGGACAGATGATTGGAATTTAGAACAAACTCATTAAAAGTTGCGAATTTCATGGTACTCCTCTTTCTCGAGTCAACGAAAGACCAAGAGCTGTTGAGCCACAAGCTGGCAAGAAAACGAGACAAAATCCAGAAGACTGCGCAAGCCATTGCCATGACAACTTGGCCCTTCGTCGTCTTTGTTCTTTTGCCAACTGTATACTTACCAGCTTTCATTTTGCTTAACAATACTTCTGTTGTAGTCCGAAACCGGTTCTCAAGTCTGCGAAAGAATAGCTGAACTGTGTGTGAAGAGTCAAGGAAAAATGTGTAGGAAGAAAAAAACATAAAGGTGAGCAGTTAAACGAAGCCCATGTACGCGAAGGTATTGCATTGAAGCTGGCCAGCCAACAAATAGATCGCTTTGTTCAAGTGCCAGGTTGTGTTGGGATTGAACGGGAAGAGCGCAAGAACAACAGACGCCCCTGTACGAAGCGCATACTATTGCCAGTGCAATGGCCAAAGAATCAGTTAACAACGGACCTTTTCGCCGAAGTCTTATACGCTTCGTTAGTTCGCATTTGTCGCGCTGCGGCATGCAACTGGTGATGGTGGTGGCGGTGGTGTTACTGCGTGCTTGCGTTAGCTGCCATTCAACAGGCTGTTGCATGCGCTTGTTGTTGTAATGTTGTTCGTGTAGTGCATATTTTTTGCTCTACGCTTTTGCCACCACAATAATTATAAGAGTTATGCATGTGGTGGTTTGGTGCAGCGCAAAACCACAACTTCAACAACGTCATCATTGTCAGCGTCATGACATAGGAATGCGAACGTGCGCGCATGCGCTGTTAAAAACCCGTCGCGGTTGCTTGTTTTGTTTGGCCCGCTGATGGCATGAAAGTGTGACGGTTGCGTGGCAGCGGGGAAATGTTTGATTCGATTGTTGGTTAGCATTAAGTTATGTGGCTTGTGTGCCACACTATGTTGGCTTCTTGTTGCGGTGACGCATTTTTATGCTGTTAGACGATTTTCACTTATTTTTTAAAGCTCGGTTTTGATGCTTTTGAGTTACCATCGCAAGAAAATCAATCAAATTTTGGACAAAATCTCAACGCACCAAACTTTTCGCCATGTGAACTTGTGGAACGGTTCATATAAATCTGTGTAGATGTCAATCGAAATTCAATTTATATATTTTTAAGTCAAAGCCTGATTTGGCCTCAACTCACTCAACTTTTCTCCATGTGAATTTGTGGAACAGTTCCCATAAATCTGGTTAGAAGTCTACGAAAAGTCAAT